GATACCTATTAATATAAAACATCTTCAAGACGTTTTTCAATGTAGGCTAACTGGTATTAGGGGTGACCGCGACTCCGGTTCACGAATCGGCGGTTCCGGTTGGAACCGCCAATTCTAACCAGAATTTAAATTTAAAAAAAAAAACTATTGTTTTTACTTTTTTGCCAATAGCATGGCTATTGGCGACCAGTAGGCCTACGCCAATGGCATGCTGGCCTATTTCAACTTTGAACCTTTTTTTTCCGGTTTGGAACTATTACCATCCGGTTCCTTTATTACACAAATCTTAACCGGAACCTTATTGGTTCCAGTTCGAACCGAACCGTGGTCACCCCCAACTAGTGTGTAACATTCCTTCAAGGAGATACTCAGATCTGCAAGTCGAGACAATAATTGGTTTTTCAAATCTTTCATTTCAAACTTCGTCTATAGGCTTGAACTAATATCATCAAGCTCTTTATGTGTTTCAATAATGGTTAATTCATCGACATAGACTAAGCTAATAAATAAATAACTCCAATAGCAATTCTTTAAAAAACACATAATGAAACATATTATTTACATATTCCTTCATCAGGAGGAAAAACACACAGTCAACTGTTGACTATTTCAAGATACATAAAACCTTCATAATTTAACATTATACATGTTGCGATTTTCATTATCTCTAATTTTGAGAATTTTAAATCCTTCAAGGGTTTTTCGAAATAAATATTAGTTACATATCTACATTATTTGTTATTTACTGTTAAAGATATTAGATGGCGAGTTTGGTCCCTGAGTTATAATGGTAGTGACGACTCAGTCCCTGAGTTATGACCGTATCCAATTTTAGTCCCTCAGTTATGAGCGAAGTAGCGCATTTGGTTCCTGACCGTTAAAACTAACGGAAAAATTAAAAAATATTTAAAATTTTAGGGGTAAAGTAGGAAATTCACATTTTATTCACTTTCTTATATTGAAATCACTTTTGTAACATTATTTTCAACTTCCTAGCATTCTATTTCAAGGTTCTTCAATTCCAAAAGCAATTCAATAATCTTCGTATGACTTGTTAGTAACATGAGTCTTGTATAAGGAACCTGTGACTCAGTACAAACAAGAGAACACTTGATCATTGTCTTCAAGCATGTAAAACACATCATCATAAAAGTTTTTGATTTCCCTTACTAAATATAATGGTAACCAAACCATAACTTTTGAAATACAAGAAGATATCAAATTTCTCAGTTATTTTTATGACAAATTCACCAAGGGAGTAACTTGAGATTTTTAGTACGTAAAATTCTTTCGTAAGCTCTGCAGTAACTTAATCAAGAATTGTATATCCTGACCATATATGAAAATTATATTATATATATATACCCATCACCTCCCCTGTCTTCTTAAAAACCAGAATAGTGAATGAGAAACCTAAGATTCAGTTATGAAAATTCTAAAAACTTTTGTAATTTCTAAAAACGATTATTAACTGTTGCATATGAAAAAATTTTAGATACTAAAAATCTCAAGTTATTCCGTTGGTGAATTTCTCATAAAAGCAATTTGAGAAATTTGACACCATTTTGTATCTCAAAAGTTCTGGTTTTATTACCTTTGTTGCTTAGTGAAAAAAATTAAAAATTGATAGGATAGTGTGTTTCACACGTCTGAAGATAATGATCAAGTGTTTCTTTGTTTGTGCTAAGTCTTAAGTTTGTTATATGAAAGCCAGGTTCCTAACAAGTCATACTAAAGTTATTGAAATGCTTTTAGAATTGAACAATCTCGAAATAAGAGGCTAAGAAGTGAAAAATAATGTTGTGAAAGTGGTTTTTATATAAGGAGAATAAAATGTGAATTTTCTACTTTACCCTTCAAATTTTAAATATTTTTAACTTTTTCATCAGTTTTAACGGTCGGGGACCAAATGCGCCACTTCGTTCATAACTGAAGGACTAAAAATGGATACGGCCATAACTCAGGGACTGAGTTGGAACTTGGGTATAACTCAAGGACCAAAGATGCAATTTTCTCAAGATATTATATAGCATAACTTAATAGCATCTATTGTGGGGAGTGTATTTGATTAAAATCAATTTTGGGTCTCTGTGTGAACCCTTGGGCTACAAGTCTCGCTTTATATATCACACTACCTCATCATTCTTATTTCTCTTTCGTACAAATACACATTTGTAACCAATAATGTTACATTAAATGGTGTATGTGCTATAAAGAGAATACATTTATTTTAGCGAGTTGAGCTATGCTTTAATTGATCATTTATATATTGAATATTTAGGGCACTTCTGGTGCCTAACTATTGATCTAGATTATCATACAACGAGAGGAATTTCTCAAGACAATTGTGTTGTCGACGACTATATTATTTTTACATAAATTTCTTCCATTTTATAATAATTCATGGCAAAATTTAAGTCAATCAGATTCTAGTCATTTCCAAAGATATTCAGATTTGATCGTTCTGCATCTCTAGTATTATGATTATTTGGTATACCAATAAGTCAACTGGGTTTTCGCCTTTTGGACGAACGTCTTCATGACATAATTTTTTAAGAGATTTCAAGAGTGACAATGTTTCTTTACTAGATTTAGTTTTTCGTAGATTTTTATCTTTTACACTGATAGATCTCCTACGCTTCTGGTTTCAAGAAGCATTGATAGATATTTTTAGTCTAAGTTGGGGAAGGTATATGGGATCTAGCCGCTCTTTTATGATCAGTATGATCAATTGATATATTTGATTAGATTATTTTCTAAAATTGTAAATTGATTTTCTTTTGAACTTACAGTCCAGTCTAACTAGTACATGGATTTAAATAATGAAGATCATTCCATTTTGTGAAATTTCTCAGCATTCTATTAAATTTGGGTTCATATCTTTCCCTAATGCCGTAAACCGATCTTCATAAAGTATGCAGTCAGCGTATTCAATTATGTATTAATCCCCTACTATGGGCTCTAGGTATTTAGGCAATACACGGAGGTTTACATCAAACATGTATACCTAGTTTCTGTGATAGCCCCTAGAGGTGCGCTATGGTGATGACATATGAAAATATACTGCATACAAATACTAAAACGCATGTGGGAAAATGTTTGATTCTTAAACCATGTACTAGGTATTGGGGGAAATAACTATGGTATGCAGTAGGTCAGATTTGGATAAAAACAGTAGTATGTCAAATTTGATGTCCTGAACAAGAAAAATATGTAATTTAGAAAACTAGTGTAACACATGAATACATGTGTCATGTACTCTTTCCCTCAACTAGTTTTTTTTTCATTGAGTTTTTCTAGTGAGGTTTTTAATGAAGCATGAATATGATATAATAATGTCAAAACTCAAAAAGGGAAAATTGCAGATAAATACTTTGAAAATATGTAATGCAGATATGTATCACAATATATAAATGAAGCGTCAAAAATAAGTACACAGCTGAATTTTTTTAACGCAGTTAGAGAACACCTCCTAATCTGCGGGGCCACGCCCAAAACTTTTTCACTCAAGATCAACCCACGGTTTTTACAATTACAGGTTCAATGAATTACAAAACTAGGTCTACCACCTATTTAAACATTAACCTCGTAAAACAACTCTATTGAAAAAGTATACAATACAGTTTGAACTAATTCTACCAATTTAAACAAACTGTAACCAACCTGGATTTAAACACAGCTTGTACTGAATAATGAGGAGCTAAATTCTCCGGATAGTACACCAATCATTTCCCGTCTGAAGTTTCCTTGTAGCGTCTTCTGAATATTTCTTTATCGCACCTTCCAGAATAATGTTTCTATTTTTCCCGTTTTGGAAACTTCATTTGTCTTCATTACAAGAATCCCCATTTATAGTAAATGTCCCCATGAGATTAGGGAATTTGATTTCCTACATTAATGCTTTCTTCATTTACGTGTATCACTCATGCATACACATTCCACCACTTACGCATGCATTTACCATTTCTTGTTCACCCATTTACTCATGCATACAATATCCACAAGTCACGCATGCATTTCCACTTATGCATATAATTTCTACAACTCACGCATGCATTTCCACTCATGCATTAACATGTGCCAATACATATAAAATATTAGTACGTACCATACATAATATTATATATATATATATATATATATATATATATATATATATATATATATATGTATATATATATATATATATATATATATATATATATATATTGTACTAACAATCTCCCCCTTTGGCATATGTTAATCAAACACCCGTACAATGAGATCTCCCCCTCAAACCATAAACATCAAACTCATTTATTTCTCCCCCTTTGTGCAATGCAGTCTCCCCCTTTTGAGAAACATTCGCCAAAGGTGATCAATGAAGCTCTAGCAAATAGTATCGAACAATGCAAGACTAATCTAGAAAGAGCACCTAGTGATAACCAGTAGGTAAGGACCAAAGTTAGGAGGTGGTCGTACCGGGAGTAGGGTAGTGGAGCATCAACACTGGAAAGCTTTCACACCGGGCGCTTCCCAAGTCCGTGCGGATCCCTAAGAAGTACCGGGTAGCCCTCTTCCAGGTGAGCAATTTTAGAAACATTGAACACTAGATAGCTTTCACTCTGGGCCATTCTAGGGCTAGTTGAACCGTAGTGAACACCAGGTAGCCTTCTTCTAGTGAACAAGGCATAATACACCAGACAGCTTTCACTCCGGGCAGAACTAGAGTTCAGGAGAACCTTAGCAGACACCGGGTAGCCCTCGTCCAGGAAACAGGATAAAGTTGCAAAGGCGCAACCACGGGATTTTGGGATTAAGTACATGTGGTATATTGAGAGTGGAGAACCAAGAATGATATAGTATTATTGACTATGTGAGAACAAAACGGCCAATCATGGGAGTATTGGAACCAAACAGAAGAACTAGCTACAAACTATCAAAAGAGTGCTCTAACCAAAAATAACTTGCAAAAGGACAATACCAGTGCATAGAGCTAAACGTTACCAGAGAGCAGAAAG